TAATAATATGGTAGTTTACTTATCAAGCTTTCTTTATAATAAATTTAGAAGGTGTTCAGTATGTTGATGGTTTAATAGAAAAAACTTTTATTTTTTACACATATATTTTAAGTTGGTCTGGTGATATTCTAGCACTTGCTAAGGTCATGAATACAACTGGTCATAATTCTTATAAGGCTTGTCGATTTTGTTTTATTCGTGGAGTATGCTGTAAAGAAAACCGATATATATACTACCCACTTAAGCCTCCATATAGTGTATTGGGATGCTAATATAATCCTAAGGACCTACTATTACGAACACATGAAAATTACTTGTAATATATTGTTACTATAGAGTATTTAAATAGATCATTACATAAATACGAAGTTCAGAAAAGAGGTAAAGTATAAAAAAATTTTGAACATTTCTACTGTTCTCTCTGTTATACAAATATTTTAAAGGATTCTGATATTTCTACACCTTTTTTTTATATTTCTACACCTTAATTCTACTTATATATATATATATTGTAATAGTATAATAGTTTTTGCAAGGGTTAAGGTGTAGAAATATAAAAAAGTGTGAGAAATATTGGGTTTCTATTTTAAATAAGGAATTAATTTGAGTTTATCTACTTTTTAGATATTAATGGTCGAAGTATTTTATTTGAACTTAAGTCAATCAAGTTTTCAGATTCATTCCTAGTTAACATTATGCATGGATTATTTGAAAATATTGCCCCAGCAATGCTCTGGCATTGGTCAGATTCTTTTTTTAAAGATAATCAAATTTCAGATTCTGAATATGTTATTTCTAATAATATTTGGACAGAAATTAGAAATACAATGGAAAAAAATAAAAGAAACATATCACTAAGTTTTGGCCATCCACCTATTAATATTCAGTGATATTTAGCAGCATTTAAGGCAGAACATTGGCTAAACTAGATAATATTATATTCAATTCCACTTTTACAAAATAATCTTCCAGAACAGTATGCTTATAAATAGAATCTTTGTTTTAAAAATGACTTTATGAAACATAGTAATTACAATGTTCTATAAGGTCATTTTTATGACAATATTTTCAAATAAAAAATATAGTTTCAAAAATATATAAATATATTTTATATTTATTAGGTATTTAAATGGGTGGTCAAAATTTGTACATGCTATAAAACTTTGTCTTAAATATAAGATTAGTATAACAGAGTTAATGAAGATCAAAAAGTTATTTTGTGAGTTTGTTGTATACTATGAGAAGTATGTTTATATTATATCTCTGTTAAATAATATATTTAATGTCTTTGATATTGTTGTTTATTTTTCTGATTGATATTTTCCTAACAGGCTATCTATCTGGTATTATATAAGATTAAGATTAGTATTTTTATTAGTTATAGATATATATTTATTGGTAAATTGTTACTCTATATGATGTCAAATAAATAGCTTTTTGAGAAAATGGCTATCGAGAAACTTATATATGATTATTTTTTATTATTGTTAAATATTCTATTAAATATATATTTATAATTTTTATAGAGAATATATTCAAAATGATTCTAGACGACTTCTAGCTATGCTTATTTCTTACTATTATTTACTACATATTGCTACATCAATTCACAATACTGGGCCCACATGGGCAACTTGGCAGTACCCTATGGAAAGGTTGTGTGGAATGCTTTTACCATTAGTTCGTTCTCAGCAACATCCCTATACTAACCTTTGGAACCAGATTACAATGTGAAATTAATTTTCACTTCTCTAACATAAACTGAAATAAATAAAAAGCTTTTTATAAAAAGTTCTGAGAAGATACCAAGTTATTCTAAAAGCCGTGTTTTTACTATTGAGAGTGCTGAAGAGAAACTATACTCATTATTTTCTAGTTATTGTATGAATACAACTAAGATGCAACATCTTAAAGCTTATTATACAATGGCACTAAGTAGACCAATAAACTAGTTAAAAGTAATTTATTTGTTTAAATCTGTTTTAGTATATAAAAAATTTACATTATTTTAATTTATTTATTTTTAAGTCGATCACAAATTCAGTTCAAAAATATAGAAAGCTTCAAACAGAACAAGGTTTAATAATAAATTCAAGACTGTCAAATCGTAAGAGTGGTGTGATGCATAAAAATTTTTGTATTGCTGTATGTATATTATTAATGTTGTAAATAAAAATAGAATTTGGGTGAATTTGAAATTTTAGAGTTTAGGTTTATAGGAATAAATTCTATCTAAAATTCTAATTTGCTTAATAAATTCCAAATCTACTAAATTCTGTTCCCACTTACAATATTAATATCACCAAATAAAGAAAAAACTTTAGCATTTGGTGATACTTATATGTTTTTTTAATTTAATTAATATCACTATTTTAATATTAAAATTTTAGGCTAAACTTCTAGTTGATTGCAATGCCCATTATAAGAATACACCAGTTATTTTAGAAATAAAAGAATTCTTTGGTGAAGTCTGCTACTTTTTTTCATATCAATATAACAATCAATGGTCAATATTGGCATATGTGCAGTGGGTTTGTAACCCTCTTGTTTCTAGGCATGGGTTATTAAAATTTTGTAACCTTGGCTTATTTGAAGTGATAGATATTAGTGCAATTGATAGAAATATTAGATTTTTAAAAATGCCTAACAATAAAATATATATTATCGATAAAGAGAGCCAAGTTAAGTTTTGTTAATTTGCTACAAAATAAATAATTAAATTAAATAATAAATAAATAAAATTAAAATAATAAATAATTAATTAAAATTAAAATAAATACTTAAGCTTATATTAAAATAATTTTTAAATAAATTTTAATTTAACTTCTCTAATTAGTTTTTTATAATACTATCAATCTGTATAATGCAAGTACTGAGCACAATACCATGTCTAGCGCTATATTTTAATAATATCTAAGTATAAAAAATATTGATCATAGAATAAATTTAAAAAAAAAATCTGAATAAGACAAGCATTTACTAACTATATCCTGGTTTAATGCCTTATTTAAAAATACAGTGTATTTTTATATAAATAGCTAATTGAAATATTATGGAAAAAATCAGGAAAAATTTCAAATAAGATAAAGTATATACTAAATATAATCCGATTTTATTCCATATTTGAAGTATAAGGAATTTTTAAATAAATAGCTAACTAAAATATTATGGAAAAAATCTGGAAAAATCCGAATAAGATTAAAGTATATACTAAATATAATCCGATTTTATTCCATATTTTACGTATAAAGAATTTTGATATAAGAATTTAACTAAAATATTATGGAAAAAATCGGATAGAGTATTTGTCTGGTTATTATTCTTTATAAATATATGGAAATTTTATGGAGTCATGGTCATAATTATGGAAATCTAATGGAAATATTCCAGAATGCATTTTTTACAGGGCCGATCTGTAATTTTATATGACATGGTGTTCGTTATAAGGATTTCTTATGCGTTAACAATTATTGACTATATTACAATATATTCAAATCATCGAAATGGGACTTAAAATCATAGGTTTTAATTATTTTGGCCCTTATTTGTAATAATTTTCAAATATCGTGTCTCTATCTATAATTATTTTCATTTTGGTCCCTTATTTGTAATTATTTTCGTTTTTGGGCCCTTATCTGTAAATTCCCCTAAAAATTACTGCATATAAAATTGTGCCAAATTATAATATCAACATGAGCTAAAATTTTTACTATAAATCCATCACACATTTGTGGATAAAATCCAACAAAAATCTCAATTTCTATTAGATCGTCTTTAAACCCGATTGGTTATGAAAGAACCCAATTATAATAACGATTGTAATTACAGCTCCACAATTTGTGAAATTGTGATCATTAGCGTCAAGCTTTTTATAAGAGTAGAAAATTACGTTTGACATTCTACTTTATTAGTTTAGTTTTTGATAGTACTTGTTTAAATTGGCAAACCTAGCTAGTTACAGGCGATCTTATGTAAAAACTCAGTGAATATTGAGAATTTACGAGGTTATTTCGTAATATAATTGTGATTGTGTGATTGCAGAATTTCAAAGAACAATAGATAATATGGGCTAAGTGCTGAGAAAAGGGACGAAATTGACAATTTTTTCAAAAGATGTTTTTTTGCATAAATCAATTAACTTTCACTTAAAAAACAAAAGTAGTTGTATTAATAAAATTTTGCAGTATAGCACTTATAAGATTTACACAACATAAAAATTGATTTTCCGAAGATCTTTTTTTTTTGTCAATTTCTCAGCACCTAGCCCATATATGTTAATAACCTTCAGTTATAATAATACGTATAAAAAATTAAAGAATTTAAGTTACTCGATTTGTAAAACAATGATTAAGCACGGTTATACAAAGTTTGATTCATAAAATGTTTAAATGTCATATAATTAGATTGTTACTTTTTTACGTATCCAGTTATTTATGTATATTAAACCCATAATAGATACGTACCATTACATCTAACTTGAATAAGCATAGATGTATGTACGTAAGTACATCCAAGCATTATACTAAAACTTTAGGGATGCTAAAAGTCCGGTCCAGTCCTGGTTAAGTCCTTAAAAAGTCTGGTCCATAACTAGTTAAAAACTAGCTTATAGCCCCTGTCTGAAACCGATCTTATCCTAGCAGTTTAATGTATAGAACAATAGTGAACGAGTATTGTGTTTTAATTATAATTACATGGATCGTATTGAATTCGTTCCCGACGAAATTAGCCAATTAGAAGACAAAATTATAGGACTAGTTTCGGACTAGTCCTGAACTGTCCCTCAAAAGTCCAGTCCCAAACCCGGTCCGAGCTAGTTCACCGTGGACCACTTAACATCCCTAACTAAACTATTCGCTATTTTCGTTAATGTTAGTTAATCCATTGTTTGTTCAAATGATTTGTTATTGTGATTGTTACCTGAAATGATTATCTATTATATTGTTTATAACGATAACTAGAGTGTAAAAGTAATAATTGGATTTTCAAATAAAAAAAAAAAATACTTCACCTCAAAGTAGAATCAAAAAAAGCTTGATAGTGAGTTTAAACTTATATTAAAATAACTCACGAATAACTAATGGCTAAGATAATTACGATCATGTGTTACTTGGTCAACTTTTGATCTTATTAGCACATACTCACAAATGTGATTAAATAATAGTTCGAGTATTTAAGTAAATGAAGGATATGATTTTTATAATAGTTCGGCTACAAATGTTGTAAGTAGGAATGGAATTTAAGTGGATTTGGAATTTCTTAATAAAATTATTTGACGCCTGCCTGAAACTCAAAAAAAGAAAATTTTATCTGTAGATCG